CCCCTCTATGCTACATGACACAGGACGCACTATGAGGATGAAACTCTGTCCGATTAAAAAATATTCTCGCATGACTGGAGAATCGGCTTGAAAAGGGCAGGAAATCGTACAGTGTAGCCCAGTGTTCTGTCAGTTAAGCATACCCATAGTTAATACCCGTTTATCCCTTTAGTTTTGTATGAAAAATACGCTTTAAACTACGTCAGTCGTGCAAAAAAACTATTTAATTACTTAGTTTTCGGTGTGTTTTTTAAAGCGTATGGCGATCTGATCATAAATTGTTTTTTTGTACATGATTTAAGTGATACATGCCTGTTGAGCTATTTTAAAGTATTTTTCATACAAAGCTGACAGGACAGCGGCTTTAGAAGGACTTTTTCGTTCAGTAATGTTTGGGATCCAATAAAGCTGGAATCTGATCCCACAATTGCATCATATCAATACAGGAAGTGATCAGTCTGAGTGAAATCATCCTGATTTCTTAGCTGTGGCAGAAATCAGCGGGACAAAAGGGGAGAAATCTGCTCTGATTTTAAAACGATGAAAGTGTTGGATGTGCAGAAACATCTCGATGTCTTTTCTGCAGTACTTGAAGATTTAGAGCAGATCTTGCATGTCTGGTACAGCTTGTTTAAAGTTTCTCAAAGCAAAGCGACTTTTGAAAGTTTGGATGTTGCACAACATTGATCCAGGAGCCACGTTAGATTTTAGCTGATATCTGGGTGGTAAACAATACTGTGATAAAAGAAATCTTTTTCTGCAGGCCGGGTGCCTGCGGGCCCATCGCTGCCCCCCTCAGGGCTCTGGCTTGTGCATCATTTCCTGGGTATTACGCTGCCGTGCGTTATGCAGAAGTTAGGCTGTCGTTGGACAGAAGTTCTGGACTCTTTATGAATCCTCTATTTATTCGCCCAGAATAGAAATAAATCCATAGAAAGTTTAGTGTATTGCAGCGTTTTAGGAGATTCTGGGACGTCGGGCAGACGCTGGATAAATCAGCAATCCCTGCTCTACAGGATCAATGGTTTGACAAACATGCAGCTCAAATGAAGCGACTCTTCCTGCAGATCTTGCATTTCTGGTACAGCTTGTTTAAAGTTTCTCAAAGCAAAGCAACTTTTAAAAGTTTGGATGTTGCACAACATGGATCCAGGAGCCACGTTAGATTATAGCTGATAACCTGGAGTAAACGGTCTGATCTGAGGGGCGATTACCTCGGTGTGGAAGTGGAAATTACAGCTGCAGGTGCGCAATAATAAGGAGTCACCTGTGTGAGGGGAAAATTCAAACTAATCAGCTCAGAAAGAAAAAAAATCCTCTGCTGGTTTCAGACGTCTGAGGTTTGATCAGACTGTTGTGTTTGTATTAAGCTCATTTTCTTTTCTGAGCTTTTGCATTTAAATAAAGTTTATCTCTTGTTTAAAACCACTAAAGTTCATCATCTGTTGCGTAACGTACTGAAAGTCCACGTCCGATAAGGTGTTGTGTAACACTAACCGTAGAGGGTTGAGCTGTCAGAGATTAGCCAACTTTAAACATCAAACTGCAGTTTCTTCCACAAAAGGCTCATTTATGTGGAGTTTGTTTTAGCAGACAGTATTTTACCCTCAGCATGGGGTTTGAAGATTTAACTTCTTGCACATATATACCAAGTTTCTGCTCCTTTTCTGTCTTATGCTCAAAGATAAAGGGACTAATGATCCATGCAGGAAGTAAAGAAATAAAACCTTCCCTTATAAGGAGGCTTTTAGGTGGAATATTTCCACCTTGCTGTATCACATCTTTAGAATCTGTTGAAATTTAATGATATTTCCTGCATTTTGAGGTGGAAAGCAGCTAACTTTTAGTCTTTGTTCCAACACTACATTAGTCCTGATTATGGGAAGTATGTGTGCTTGACTAGAAGTGGAAATTACATCATTTTAGCTACAATATTATGTTTTATAGGTTAATTCAATCAGAAAGTCTGAGGCTACATTTGCACCATGATTTCAGCAGCAAAAAATCATTTCTGATGCTTTTTCACATTAAAGTCGTAGGAAAATCATATTTAGATGTCAAACCACTCTGGGTTAAACATGCATATGAATGTACTCTTAATCAGACGATAATATCCCAAAAGTTAGAGAAAAAAAAAAGAACTCCTGCCTTAAAATCTGTGTTTGTTTT